TTTTACAAAGTTTTCAGTCGATTTCATAGGGTGTGCTTGTTGGGCTCCACTATAGCAACGCGTTTTCGTCGAACACAGGCAAAATTTAACCGATTTTACCCAAATTTTCGACAGCAAGTGCCTCGTCCATGTGCATGCATCCGCCATGCTAAATTTCACTCGCATACATTACAAATACAGCAAGATTTCATTGGCTAAACTAGACCTTAGCCCGAGTGGTTGCCATGGACGCCAGATTTATGCAAATGAATAATTTGGTATTAACCAGAGAAGTAATAATTAACTCGATGTTTCTTGTAGAACGCATGCGCGAACTAAATTTCCACCGCGAAACAGCCGTGGTACCGCATATTTTAGTTGGGGTTATGGTCATTTAGAATAAAAAAAAAAGAACAAAGACTAAGACCAAAGACTAAGGGCCTGATTACATGAGCCGAGCTGGCTCGGTTAGCCGGGCTGATTTCTTTTGTTTTGGTGTTCGCCAAAGCGTGAAAAAAGAAATCGCCAAAAGCGTGAAAAAAAATCAGCCCCGCTCATATAATAAGAACGAAGAAACTAAAGTAAATATGGCAGGAGATGCAAACATTGTCATTGTATTGTAAATGGTTTGGAATTCCAAATTTGAAAGGAAAGAAAACCACCATAAATTGCTTTCTAACTTTCAAGAATATGATGAAACGGATTATTATTCAACTTCTGGGCGACAAAAAATAGAACATGTGACATGTTTCCGCTGTGACAAATCTAGCCGCAAGTTCTCCTTCATTGGTGGAAAATAAATGCGAACTGTCATTCGATTGCATGCAAATTCGAGTACATAGACAGGCTTTTTTTTCCTCGAAGTTTCCTTACCAGCTAAGCAAGCGAAGTGACAACCTGTGGAAACATAACCAGTAATAAATTATCATTTAAATCCAGACGCAACTGTTGGATTAATATCACGCCATCACATTATCTAACGATGGCTTAATTTGATTCCTCCTCTCCCGAGCAAGCGCGCTAAGAAGACGAAACAGTTGGCGGTAGAGGAGAGAACAAGTACGTCATAGCTCTACTACACTACAGTTTCCGTAAAACGAACGCGTGATTGCAACGTACCATCGACTCTGGTTTCTCACGTCATCGAATCGAGTTAATTTTGAGGAATGCTGATCGGTGGAGGTTCGCGAAAGCTTTCCTTGTCTTGGATATAGGCTGTGCGTTGTCTGTGTTGGGAAACTGTTATGACCAACTGAGGGTGTATTTTACATACTCTGTATTGTACAAGGGACGTGTTGATGGGAATGGTTTTTCGAAGTTTACTACGATTACGGAGACCCCAGCGAGCTGGAAAGCTATTTTTATTTGTGGTAGCAGCTTTATCAATCTCATTTCTCTTCATCAAGAGTTTTGAAGACAATAAACAAAACGCAAGCGTTGTTATCGAAAATCTTAATGTTACGTGGACAAGCGATGCTGTTGTGAATGCTACTGCGGACCTTTCACTGAATGTCTACGTCTGGAGGGAATTGTGCGGCTCAAACGTCCAAGCAGTGAAACAAATACCCACATTTCCAAATTACCCCGACCAAAAGGGTTTTATAAACGATGTATTCGAAGTTTCGGATAACAAAGAATACTACGGACAGCTTATATTCGGCTTTTTAAAACCAACGACGAGCGGACCTTATCGTTTTGCGATTGCCTCCGACGACTCGTCGGAATTGTGGCTTAGCGAAAGCGAGGATCCCAACGAGAAACGCTTAATTTGTCGAGTTTATGACGAGAAAGAGGGTTATGGTTGGACAAAGAAGCGTGAACTGAATAAATACCCCGTGCAAATGTCTCAATTCCTGAATCTACGACGGGGGAATCGATACTACATTGAAGTCCTTCATAAACAAGGTGTTGGTGACGGGTTTGCTCAAGTTTATTGGAGCACGCCTTCAGAGGGAGAATTTCAACTCATCCCCGTAGAAAACTTCGAACGGTACTCAAACGACTCAGTGGTTTTGGCGAAAAAGGATGGGTATCACCAGGCGTTTGCAAATCATTACCGAAGTCAATACGAAATGAAAGCAAACATGGCAAGTCGTCAAACACTTCAGTTTTATTCATTACCGTTAATTCCAAAGGCCAACTATTTACCTTTGTGTGAGTACAAATCTAGTGCTGTATGGAACTCGGTGTGGAATGCAAGCGTTATCGGTAAGTATGAAAGTCAAAAATTGCTATATTACTCCAATGTTTACCCGCCAGATGATACTTCCATGGGAGACACAGGGATGGTGAGGAGATGGCCTAACCCCGCCGCTGACAGAGACATCGTAGTGGCAGTTGTGAATAAAATGGTCGGTTCTCTTCGCCGTTACACTACCAGGTATGTATCCTATAAATGTAAAATGAAGTTATTTAATCGAGGAGCATCGTAAGTATCGTTTCTAAAGCGCTCGTGAACGGGAGATGACAAAACGCGGAGCCCTACTCCATGGAGTACCCTATGGAGTACTTAAATGGAGTACCTCTAAAAATCATGTAGTGGTCAAATAAAATACTTTAAAAACAGGGTAAATCGTGTAGAAGAATATATCATTTTGAGCTTGCCAGCTCTCCAATCGTTACAGTTCTATACAGTCCAGTTCTTGAGGAGGGGGAGGGAGGGGGGCAGGGGGGCTTTCAGTCTTGCTGTTTCCTCCATTTTGGTTTTATTAGGGTACTCCATGGAGTAGAGCTCCATGTTTTGTCATCTCCCCACGTGAAACAGGTTATTTTTAGACGCATGGACGAGGACGGTCGCCGTAAAAATTGTTGTTAAACTGCCGAAGATCGTTACACGTTGCGATCGTTACATGCTAAACCACGAAAATGCATAGGAGTAGCCTTTGTGAGTAAGTGATCAGCCAGTCGGTTTCTGTTTGTTATGTGAATTAACGATCAGTTCTAGTAAATTCAGTAATGTTCAAAGTACGTGTGTTTTGCTTCAGTATATTACCGTAGTTTGTTCGTTGGGACGGACCGTGCCTCATGTGAAACATTGAAAAACTGTCAAAATATACTGTTGACAGGTTCAGACTCTGACGTTTTCTTTGTCCCATGATTTTGACAAGACGGGAAATCATCTCTCTTTAATGAACGTGAAGAAATGGTTGGCGGTTATGATAAAGCGCTGAGTTATGTAACTATCACCGCATCTTGGTCAAAAAATCTTATTTGAGTGAACTCACTGAGATGTTTGAAACGTCTCGTTTTTTCAACAGTCGCAAAAAAATTGTTAGAGGTGAATAAGCCTTAGGTCTGACTAAATGCGGATATTACACATACAGATGGACGTTGGCGAGTTGTCAGAGGTTGTTTGTCGTCATAGTGACAGGTAGCTATAGCTGGTTATGTATGTCATCTCACGTCAAGTGCCGAGAAGAATTTTTTAACAGCCAAATTACAGCTCATTTCTGAAACTAACCTCAGGAGGAAAAAAATTTACAAATTGAAGTAGTGAGGCCTTCTAAAATGCAATTTGGTTTTATCAACAAAGTTGATAAAGTAAATTGGCCACCGTAAAGAATTTTCCTCTAAAATGCCGCTGAATTGAAAAAGGCAATACCGCAAATGGAAGTCATTACAAACTAAGTTTTGGCTGTCGGGAAGATTAAATGTAAATATACCGCATTCCACATTAGTGAAGTGTCAAGATTATCCCAATTGTCTATAGCTGAGATAATTGGCGCGATATTGATTACGCTCCTTGAATTTGGGCGTCAAGGTTTTTTAAGCCGAAAATTCTGAAACCTCAAGGCTTTCTTTCCTTTTGATGGTATCCCTTCCTTTTGTACCCACGGATGTTTCGTACCCTTTGGATGCTTGCCCAATATTCGTGGTTCGTACGCAACTTGTTGGTCGATTCGTAACCTTCTGAACAAAGGTCGTCACGCGAAATACCTCACTAGGAGCGCGTGACCAGATGTCAATTGTTTTATTTATTTATATTTTATTCCTAACGACAAGGCAGGGGTCGCACTGTGGCCTTATTTTTTTTATGTCGCGTCATAAGTTGTCCTACAAATATGTCGCGACATTGACATCATGGGAGTCAAGGAGGTCGCACTTGTGCGACATAAAGGATATATATGAAACCAGACTGTCAACTCTTAATATTTCACGCGCGAAAAGAGCACCAAATAAAACTTTGTAGACATGGGGACCAGGTAAAACGTGTGACTAAAATATTGAACCGATAGCTAGCTGTGCACACGTGTTGTCTTTGCAGAATTGCGAAAATCCAAATTTTTGCTAGTATTTCAGATTTGATCGACGTAGCGACATAAGAAAAACAAAATTGTTATTTTAAGGCGATAAGACGAGATATGGCCTGCCTCGAGGCAGGACATCAGCTTTTTAGATCTTTAGGTCCTTCGGGAGTTTGACTAATGGTCGTGGGTCGTGGGTCGTGGGTGCAAGTCGTGGGTCGTGGGTGTGGGTGTGGGTGTGGGTAAAA